TAGTAGCTCCATGATTGAGATAAAATAATTGATTCTTCTTTATGCTACTTTTCTCAGATTAAAGACAAAAATTAAAAAGAAGATAAACAAGAAAGAATATCCATCAGATTTAGAGTGTTGCTGAAACTGAAGAAGGAAAAGAGGCTCAGGATTTTAGTTATCAGGGAGAAGGTGACCCCAAAAATATTGGTTCCGAAAGAATGTTCCCCTCCTAAAAATACAAGTGATTATGTTTGCTTCTGTTTTTTAATACATCAAAGTTAAAGCCTTTCAAAAGAAAAAGCATGACTTTTTTTTAAGGTCAGATTTCCATAACAGCAGGTTCCAACTTTCTAATGGACCCACAGCTGGTAGATATTTGGCCTAACAACAAAACATTCATCATGCTGGATTCATGGCTGGTAGAGGCTCAGCTTTTCAACATAAACCCAATAATTTTCCTGTTTAGCTCTCCAACTATTTATAAAGCAGTCCTTAATAACGTCAAACATGCATTTTAACCATAAGAGACAGAACATGATCAGCATCCAATGCTATATAAAGTAAAGCAACACGTATTAAACTAAAATCAGTCCAATATGTCCCACCAGGGACCAAGCCTAAGCTGCTATTTGTTGCTGCACTCTGAGATATTATGTTTTGCATTTACTTTATGTGAAAACCAGAATTTCCGTCTTGATAATTGGGCTTACCACAATATAATAAAGAATGTTAAAAGAAGTACTGTGTCCTTTCAGTGGACGTGTTTGTGTAACAATAGCATTCCAGTAACATTCCTTGGATACCAGTCTGAGGGGAAAGGAGCGGGAGGACTGGATCACCCTCAGATGAGTGCAGCCACTTGCTTCGTTGGGCTCAAACAGAGGAATATTTAGTCTGTAGCACATCTATGCAGTTTTTAAACAGCTGCTTAGCTGATATATGATAAAGTATATTCGCTGTTGATTTGATGTTAAGTGATGATTAAACAATGCATGTCAACTTGTCTATATCATAGATGTATTTTTATAGAACTTTTCAAAACACAGCTTTTATGACATAAATATCAACAAGCATAAAATACAATTGCAAAAATATTTAACCAAAAGCATATAAAACTCCTATAGTTATACGTTGAGGAGGCTTGTCTATGTTACGACAGGGACTCCTTGAAAATGACCTCAGTCTGACTCTGGGAACAGAAATACTTTCTACTTGAAAGTATCAAACTAAGTGATACTCTAGGAAACCTTGGTTTAAACCAACAGCAAACACACAAACAGACTTGATTATCACTAAGTGTCTAAACATTCCTGATGGGATATGGTTGAAAACAGGATTTCCATTGACTCGGTTTGCCAAAGAGAGATATCATAAAAAAATGCATCTTTAAGGAGAGTTTTGCTAAAACCTTTAACCAGATCTACTCCTCTACTGACCTCATCAAGGTGTGTGTTGTTATCAGCTGAGGAAGAACCAGAGTCCTGGTATTATTGGACCTTAGTACAGCTGTTGCACTGTTGATAATTTTTATTAGAGAGCCTGGAAAGCTGGGTTGACCTTTCTGGTCTAGAACTGGACTGGTTTAAATCCTCCTAAGGACAGAGACTGTTTAGTGTCTGTAGGTAACTTTCTATCAGAACCATAGAAACCCCATGTGGCGTTCCGCAGGGAACCACATTAGAGCCCGTTCTATTCTGTATCTCCCTGCTACCCCTGACTCAGGTCTTAATAAACAACAACATCAGTTACCATAGTGATGCAGATGACCCCCGGCTGTACATCACCATGTCACCAGGTGACTATGAACCGATTCCAGCTCTGGGTGAATGCAGAGAAGAAATCTACCCATGGAGGAATAAAATGTTCATTTGACTCAAACTAAACCAAAGTAATAGTTTTTGGACCAAAAGAAGAGCGTTTACAAGTCAGCACCCAGCTTCATTTAATCCAGCTAGAAAGCAGCAATCAGGCTCTAAATCTGGGTGTAGTGATGGACTCAGACCTGAACCTTCAGAGGCTCATAAAGACAGGAACAAATTTGGCCTTCTGTCACCTAAAGAATATCTCATGAATTAAAAGACTAATCAATCTTGAAAAATGATTTCCTGTTTTGTTTATCTTTAGTAGAATTTATTCCTGCAGCAGTGTCCTCACAGGTCTGCCTGATCCAGAATGCTGCTGCCTGAGTCCTCACTAGAACTAAGAAAGTGGAGAACATGAGCCCTATTCTAAAGTCCTTCCTCTGGCTCCCTGTATCTCAGAGAATAGACTTTAAAATCCTTCTGTTATTCTAGAAATCACTGAATGGTTTAGCTCCAAAATACATTACAGACTGTTTGGCAGTGGATCAACAGCCAGACCTCTCAGCTCTGCTGGATCAGAATTAAACATATAGAAGCAGCTTTTAGTTCTTCTGCTCGACTTATCTGGAATTAATTTCCACAAAACTGAAAAAGAGCTGAAACCCTTAGTGGCTTTAATCCATTTGTTTAATATATTGTTTTATTAGAAAAAAATCATTGTATAACATGGATGCATAAAAAGCTAATTTTATTTCAGATAAATTAAAAATGTCTCAGAACCTTTACTGGTTTTTGATTTTCTGCTGATTTCTGGGAGAGAGGACTTTTTCTGAAATCTAAGGAGAACATGAGGAAAAAGATACAACAGTATTGGAGATTTTGTAAAAGAAATGAGCAGAAAGATTCACAGTTTTCATGTTTTTTTATGACAAGAATCAAGAAACTGATTTAAAAAGCTTGGATCAGGAGAATTGGAGGCAAAAAGTTGGGAAAAATATCTAAACCTTTGATCCCACATGTGCAAAGTGTAAATATTAAAATTAGTTGAATAATTTGGAGGAAATCCTTGATGTTAGGTGAGAGGTTGTCTCCTGCGTCACTGCTCTCCTCTGCGCATGGCGGCTGTTCTGTTGGACACCTGAGGCTGTGTCCCTGAGATGGGCCCATTATGCGTCTCTAGGATCCAGATCCAGCTTTTGCTTCTTCTAAAGCAGACATATCTCTGTTAACTCGGGCCTCAGTCATGAGAACAGACCTATTTTAACTCCAGGAGGGGCCAGAATCCCGATAATCACTTTTTAAACTCTATTTTCCTGCACGCCGCCTCTCCAGTCCGTCCAAAGGTCTCCAAGCTACAAGACATCAAGCTAAAAAGTTTGACCTCCACGAATTTTTCGATTGAGATTTTCAAAATAATAAACACAAACCTTAACGAAACCTGGAGTTTCTCGTTCACAATAAAAGGCAGCTTAAATCCGTCAAATGTTTCTGCAGTAAAACAAATATTTAACTGTTTTATTTGTGTTTTTTTCGTAAAACTGTTAAATTAATAAATATTTAGATTGAAACCGGTAAAAAAGTCTGAAAATTTAATCATTGTTCATCATCGGAGCTGAGATTTGAGATATTTCATATTTTTTTTCTAAAATGTGTAGCCTAAAACAATTTTATTATTGCTTATATACATAATGAAATACATGCCGCAAAGCTTTCACCTTACACTGATATAAAAACCTCTTTGTATACCTCTTACTAGTGTTGCACCGATGCCATATTTTGGCCCCGATACTGATATCTGATACCTGGCTCTGCAGTATCGGCCAATACCGGTACCATTGGTTTCAAATTGTTGTATGTGTGTGTATATATGAAGATCTGCATACTACTTGGATATAAAATAATTTCCTTCATGGCTTTGTCAAGCTGCTGCCTACCTTTGTTAAGCAGGAAAAATACTATTACAAAGTGAATCCAGTAGAACTTTTTATTCCCTACCTGGAATGGGTGACAATAGTTAGATAAACTTTTAGCTCTCAAAATGGTATCGGTGCCCTATTTGTCCATACTTGCCGAGACCACCATTTTTGTGCTGGATCAGGGCCCCGACCGATACTGGTATCGCTGCAACACTACCTCTTATCATGGCTTAATCATTTTGTTAATCATTTTGCTTTCACATGGCTTAGTTTTATGTTGTATTGTATAGGCTTATGCTTATATAAGGGGATATGAAAGTCAAAAACATGTTTTTTTTTGTTTGTTTTTATTGCTGTCCTAAGTGGGAGGTCTGCATGAGGGGGTCCACGGGGGTATTGCAAGGGGGTCGAGAACGTTGTGGTTGATTAGACTTTTTTTTATATTCCCCCTGCAATTTTTTCCATTAATTGAAATATCTTTAAATAAACATTAACATGAATTCAACACACTGTAGTAAACAGATAAATGGAGGCGGAAGATGTCTTTCAGTCATCTTTGCACACATTCAGAGACACACAGGAGCTCTTTCAAGCTGGGCACCGTTTCATCCACAACTCCTGTCCCATCAATGAGGAATAAGAATCAGAAATACTTTAATAATCCCAGGGCGAAATGTATTTTGTTACATTACTCCATCAGTAATAGAGTGACTATGATCAGTTTGATATAACACAATTTAATACAATATATATAATTAGAGTGTCCATTCAAAGTTTTCTATCTAAGGAAAACCAGTTGATTACATCAACTCATTGACTCGGATGTAACCCCTAACACTAAGCATGGTTGTAGTGACAGTGGAGAGGAATAACGCCCTTTTAACAGGAAGAAACCTCCAGCAGAACCAGGCTGAGTGTGAGCAGCCATCTGCTGAGGCCGACTGGGGTTCAAGGAGACAGAAGCAGAGATACAAAAAGCAACAAGAACCAGTTTGATATTAGACTTAGACAGATTTTTTATCATTTTGTATACATGAATGTAAACAAAAATAAATTTAATTTAAAACAGCTCTAGACAATTTCCTTTTCTAAAGTGGAGCCTTGAAAAACATTAATACATAAAAAGAAAAACTTATAACACAATTTCATACAGTATATATAATTAGGGGGTCCCCGCTCCATCTCGCCATCAGTTTGGGGGCCCTTGGCCTGGAAAACGTTGGAGATCCATGCTCTAAGTTGCTACACCGTGCTTTTATTCTGAAAGCTCGCTACTCAAACTTCCGTTCTGTCGCGCGTGCGCATCAGCTAGCTTGACTCAGCTGTGTTTTAGTGGAGGCTGTAGGGAAAGACACGCTGTCAATCACTATTAAGGGACCATGGCAGTAAAGTGCAGGAGAAGCTGGCTGTGAGCGCCGTGGTTCCGTCCAAAGGTTGCCGCGGTTCGAGCATTATGCGCCGGGTCGCCGTGGGACGTTTGCAGCCACCGTCACCAAGTGGGAGCCGCCGCTCCGCTCCGGACTGGGATTAGCTTTATGGAAAAACAAAGCAGAGAAACTTCACCTTTTCAGAACCAGTTCTTCATTTCTGAAACAGAGTTGGACTTTTTTAGGGGTTTTGTTTCTTGTATAAAAGCAAAACAGAGCAGGACTGTGTTCACTCCGAGCGTGGGAAATAGTGCGTGGATTTGACTCCAACTGGTGGGAATCTGTTGTGTTCATTTCTGAGAAACTCCCTGCTGTCGGTGAGTGTCTGTGGAAGGAGGGACCGAGGCTCTGTGGCCCCCAAAATGCTTCATTTTCAACTTTTCTTGTGTTGCAGTGACAGCGCTGAGGCGGGCGGAGACCCCCTCCTCCCCACGACCAGCGAAGCCGAGCGGAGTCCGGGGAGCAGGGGCCGCGATGAGCGGGGGGGAGGTGGTGTGCCAGGGCTGGCTGCGAAAGTCTCCTCCTGAAAAAAAGTTGAGACGTTACGTAAGTCCGCTTCCGGTCCTTTTAGTGGGGCTGATAGAGCCAGGGGCCCCAATAAGAGAGAGCCAGGGGCCCAGTGTTGTTTACATCAAGAAAAAAACAAAGTTCTTCTTCTTTGTGGTTTGAACTGTGTTTGACCCTTTGATTCTATAGATATACACCACATAGAATGTAATTTGTCATTTTGATTATATTTTACAGACGATTAACGTCTTTATCTCAGAGGATCAGATTAAGGATCATTATTTCTGGTAGAAATCTCAAACTTTTGGCTGATCTGATTGAAATGTTTCTATAAAGTACCTGGGATGTGAATTGGAGCTGTAGAAGTGAATTGTATAGAGTTGACTTGATGCAGCACGGCGTGCTGGAGGTCAGCCTGAGGTTCTGCTCGGGTCCAATAGAAGCCAAGGCTGTGTTTATCTTTGCTCAGTCAAATTAATCGAGTATTGAAATAAGTCTCAGTTAATCAGTCGGTCAGATACTGATGAACCAGAGTAGACAGGTTCTAAAGCAGAGAACCATCTAAATGGAGCAGGACGGCGGACCTTCAGCACCAGAACTGAGGAACCTGCTGTAGAACGTGACGTTTGGTGAAGGAAGAACTCACTAAAATGGAAAAATTCAGACTTTCATTTTAAATATTTTAAGTAAAGTGTAAATATTCTCCATCCAGAACTCCTCAGAGGGAAATTTTCAGCTTCACTTGGTTCTGTCAGAAACTCTCCTTTGGTAATAACTAACGGGTTAATCAAAAAGTTATGAATGCATCAGCAAAAATAAACCTTGAACCTCAGTAGCACCCAATTAGCTGGACCGGCCTTTGGTACTGTCTACAGCAGGGCTAACCAATTAAAGATCAGTTGGGTCCAAATAAAGAAAATCAAAAACCAGTAAAGGTCTGGAGACATTTTTTTAAATTATAATCTGTTACTTTAAACAGAATTTAACACTGAAATAAAATTAGGTTTTTATGTATCCATGTTATACATAGAATCTTTATGTAAAGGTATAAAAAAAAAAGAAAATTTTTCCATTTTAAAATCTATAGTGTTTTTGGAAGTAGAGAAAAAATCGTTTAGCTTGGTATAAAGACAATTTCATTATTCACGTATTTGATAATTCACCTGAACTGACCGTTTTTCTTTCTTTCTTTTTTTCTTTCTTATTCATGGCTTAATGTTGGCAGTGGGCTTTATGCTGACCTGCAAGGCTTTAAACTGGGTTTGAATAGAGAAAGCCATTCTAAAGCACATATCAAGGAGCTCATTTTGAGCCTGGATTAATATTTATTTTTGATTCTGTTCATGGTGGAGAATCCTGCTTCAGGATAGCAGGTTGAGCCAAACATCCTCTTTCACCAGTTCACTGCGGTTCTTCCAGCAGTCCACACTTTCTTTGCTCTTTTTCTCATCGTCTTCTCCTTCTTTCCCATCGCACGGCTTGCCACAGGTTTGCCTGCTGAGTCTAAAAGTAGCAGCAGCAGCAACCCAGACTGACTGCAGCTCATTGGCTAATTTTTATCACGTGCAGCCTGGTCCCAACGGCTTTACCATATGACAGGAGAAGCAGAGCAAGTGAAGTTAGGCACAGCCGTCACACAACATACGGTAATTTATAAATGCTTTAAATCAGGTTGGATCCAGATTAGCCAGCAGGTGGGTCTGCATCCGGACTGCGGTCTGCTAATCTGTGACCTCTGGTTTACAGTGTTCTAGAATAGGGTTCTAGAATGTTCTGGTAGACGGCTGATTGGATGGAAGACTTCCGAAATCCCAGTGGATCAGAACCAGCTGGTGTTTCCTGGCTGGTTGAACATATCAGTTCTCTGACGTCTTTCTGATAACGATGCTGTGAACCACGGCCCTGTGGGTTCTGGTTCTGGTGCCTTCATTGCCTGAAAAGCACCAGATCGTCTTCCTTGTTAACTCTTATATAGAGTACTATATAATGGTTACACACTTTCATATGAGTGTCCAAATGTCTAGTACAGGCACCGTGCGGGGACCCGGAGGCCCGTGACCAACGAGGAGCGAAAACTAGTGATCATCTGTTTGAAATGGTCAGTTAACTCAGTTCAGTATATAGTCCCCGCTCCATATAGTGATGGAGGGGTTAGGGCGGATGTTCAGACTAAGCCAGAGTTTCTGAGCTCGAGCCGCCGTGACGTCCTGTTCAGAACCGACATGTCGAAGCGAAGTCCCGATGGATTAATTTCTCTGGAATACTAGGACATTTTCAAGACCCAGAACAGTTCTGGTTCTGGACTAAACAAAGGGCAGCTGTGATGTTGGCTCCTGAGCTTTAGGAGATATTCTGACCATCGCTGCTGCCTCTGATGGTTTCTGATCAGAAACTGTTTATTCTTTAAAACCTTTTTGTCCTTTTCTACTGAAACTTCCTGCTTCCTCTTTTCCATCAGAGTTTTTAGCATAAGTGTAAACGTGAAGCAGCAGAGGTCAAAGTGGACTTTGGTTCTGACAGTCAGGCTCAGGACGCGTCGGAGGCTTTCCATCCCCATCCAGTGGGAATTTTGGTGTGTCTGTGTGTGGGTTCATTTCCTCAGCTTTGCTTTTCTAAGTAATTTTAAATACGAAGCAGATGATAACAGACAAGTTGGTGAAGGAGACCCAACCCCCAGGCCAGGGGGGTCCTTCACAGACTAGTTAGAAACACTGCCTGAAAATAACCTCCTCTCCCTCCCCCACCTGTTGCAGCACTGTCTGATTATATCACCTGTTCCTTAATGTTTTTATTATTCTTGTAAACATCTATAAATTGATCTCTTGGAGTATCTGTTGCTTCCTGCTCTGATCTGGGTTCTGGTTCTGTGAGCCTCTTATCCTGGCCCGTGTTTCACTTCATGTTTTGATGGACTTCCTGTTATTCCGACAGGGATGTTTTTATTTTTTCTCTTGATCAGCACAACTTCTGTGTTTCCTGACTTTTCTCCTCTGTGGCATGTTTGGACTTTGAGGAACTCCTGTCTCCCTTAAAGGGCCCCAGTGTAAGCGGGCCCCAGAGGTCCTCCTCCGACAGCAGTAAAAAGGCAGACTGGGGGGCCGGATCTCGAGTGCTCGGGGCTCTCTGCCTGCCAGGGATGAAACGTTTTCCAACATTTGGACCCAGAAACCTGAACACAACAAATGTGACGGCACGGCCGCAGGGAAACAAAGGCCCAGCTCTTCCATTCAGTAGAGGATTCATTAAATCTGCTTAGCAAGTGGAACAGAGAACAAACGCTTTCTGTTGCCCCCCCCCTGCATGTGCTTCAAGACACAAACAAACAAGCGATCCGGTCCGGCTGGAACAGAGGCGGCTGTGTACAGTGTTAGCCTATCAGGCTAACGAGGTGTTGTTGTTGCCCGGCGTCCTGGCTGTGGCGCTCTGTGTGATCTACCACAGCCTGGAAATGGATTCCAGATGACATTAATAATTCAAGTCCATTACAAACAAATGAGCATTAAAAATTGATCCGAGTTCTCCGTGTCCCAGCTCCTTTCATCCCACTATTGTCACTGGTTCCACCGGTGTGAGGGGATCAGTTTCCCAGCAGCCAAACTGGTAAACAGACGGTTTCAAAGACTCATTGGGAAGTTAAAACAGCTTCACCGGTTTAGATGTGAAACATTTTTGTTTTAAAAGTTTGCCTGAAACGTCGGAGGCTCCTCTGTCCTGAAGTGCTCTTTGTTTCACAACAGGACAAAAGTGAACGTGTTTGTGGTGCGTCTGCAATTTTGTTTGTGTATTTCTAGAGTAGCGAGCCAGAAATCATGTCACTGCCTCCAGAAGACAAACAAATCCATGAACAGGAAGCAGCAGCAGCAGCTACCTCAGCCGGGTTTATTTGCAGGGAAAAAGCGGCTCCTGATAATGTTTGCTTTTATTTTGCAAGACAGGAGTTACACATAAAAACTGATGGTTGGTTCATCCCAGCTGGCGTTACGTAAAAGTCAGTAAGGAGGATCTGGTTGGAAAGAAGTTTTATTCTCCGGCTTTGGTGAATTTCAGATCCAACTAATCACATTTATTCATTTGGTGAACCTCATAGTGAGTTACATGTGTTGTTGCATAACCACAGTCACCTAAATGCCTCCATGTTGAGAAGCAACAGCAGGCTTTTCTTTGAACAGGATTTTAAGTTAAAATATCAAGCATTGTGTAAATGTGGAGCGTTTTTCTATAGCGCCAATTCACAACACATGTTATCTTAAGGCACTTTACAGTTCACCAGATCATACAGTCAAATTGATTCAAAGTTTTCTATCTAAAGAAAACCAGTTGATTTCATCGACTCGAATGCAATCCCTCACACTAAGCATGCTTGTAGTGACAGTGGAGAGGAAAAACTCCCTTTTAACAGGAAGAAACCTCCAGCAGAACCAGGCTCAGTGTGAGCGGCCATCTGCCGAGGCCGACTGGGGTTCAGTCCCAGGAAACACACAGCCAGGCAGACGAGCTCAGAGCCAGCTCCCATGTCAGAGGATGAAGAGAGCACATCCAGCTAGTCACAGTCAGAGAAACAGGACTACACTGGAAAAACCATATAGAAGGTTTATAATTGGAAATTTGAGAAAAAAAATTTAAACCAAATAAATTCAACTCCGAAAACCTCTTAAAAAAACTATTTTGAGAATAACTTTGCTGTTTCGTAATTTTTTTTTTCAAAAAATAATATATTTTTTTTAAATATATATATATATATAGATATTTTTTTTTTATACAATTTATATTTTCTTTTTTTTTCTTTTTCAGTTTTTCAAGTTGAGTTTTGCAAATTGCTCTCTTTCAAATTGCGTTCTCCAAATCCCATTCTTTTCCCTTCCAGTCCAATCCAAACGCTCGCTCTGGACCAATCAAACATTGCAGACCAATAGAAAAGCGTCTTTGCTCCCGACTCCAGAGGAAAGCCCGCCCCCAGAACTGAGGATGAGAGGATCTACATGCTTTAGATGGTTTGAATCCAGTCCATGTGATCCTCTCATCACACTAGTAGTTTACCT